AGGGATGTAAGAAAGGCCTTCTGATTTTGTTTTGCAAAAGACAGTGCCAAAATTTGTATTAGCATTTATTATTATTATTTCTACAAAGTTAATTTGACTATTAGAAAAATTAATCACAATAAGAAATTTCGTATGGAGTTTAGTACTTGAAATTTAGAACCTTCATGTACATTTCAGGGAAGTCAGGAGCTGAGAAGGAATGTGAACTTGCTCATTCATGTAGCATTTGTTGGGTACCACCTGGAGCAGGGGGTGGCACCGGGGACTGGAGACACCTACACATAAGGCCTTGCCTGCCTGATGCCAGCCTAAGGATAGGAAAGGGGCCTACAGGCAGAGCCCGGCCACAGAGCGGGAAGGGAGCCACCTGCCGCTCACAGGGAGAGCCAGGAAGGGTAGGTGCATCTCTGAAGGCTTTTCTGGAAGGTAACGCCTGAGGGGACCAGAAAGGAAAGAGGGAGTTCACCAGGTGATGGGGTGGGTGGAGGGAGCCACCCTTGTAAGAAACACAGGCGCAGCGGACGCAGGGTGCTCCTGGCAACTTCAGTCTGCCTGGAGCTTTCAGCAGCAACAGCGGATGGGAGGGTTGGGCTGGAGACAAGTGAGGCCTGATGTTTCCTGCTGGGCAGTTTTGGATTTATCTGGAAGGCTGTGGGGGTGAGGTGAAACCATTTAAGTGTCCTGAGCAAGGGGGTGTCCTGTCTCTGACCAAAGTGGGGAAGACAGCAGCCTGAACAGAGGCAGTGACAAGCAGACAGAGGAAAGTGGCTGGGCCCATCCCTCAGAGGGCTGCGTGGGCCTGTGGGGTGTGGGAGGGAGAGAGGAAGGAAGCCCAGGGTGGATTCCTGGTTGCTAATTTGGGGCCTGGGAGGACAGCGTGTGACCTAAGCAAGGAATCAGATTTAGCTGGAATTAGGTGTAGGAAGTCATTTGCCACTTCTTTTACCAATTGAAGCTCAGGGTCTAGAAGTCCAAACTTCCTGTCCACATTACTTGCCTGTATGCAGACTGGGGTTAAGAGAGTCAGACGGTGAAGGTTTCTGCAGAGAGGAATACACTGGAAGGAAGAGCCATTCTCATGGCCGTTCATTGGAAGGCCTTCGTAATGATCATGACAGAGATGCACACTCCAGAGACTCAAGGATTAGCCAGTCAAGTGCGAAATGCCAGAATTTTTGCTTTAGAAAGGTCACCCAAACCCCATTTAAAATTGAATTCTTGCCACCTGAAAGCAGTGCAGGGATGGATTAAGAAGAGGGGGAGGCCCTTTCCTTCCTTTCAGAGCCAGTTCTTGGTAGATGCGGGGATCCACCTCTTGGTCAGAAGGGCGGAGGGAAGACCCCTGGGTCCTGTCAATAAGACGTGGGGTTGGGACAACACTGCCACTTTGTTGACATGATCCCCCTTTCAGAATATATTTCTCCCTTAGTTTCATGAGTGCCCAGATGTGTCTGACAGTCACTGATATTTTCGGTAGACCTCTTAGCTTGCTCCCGGCAATTACTTGGCGTGATGTTTTCTGAAGACTTGCTTCTTGTGGTTTTCCCTTCTTCCTGGTTGTCTGGCTTCAGGCAGCTGCTTTCACCAGAGCTGAGTGATGTCTTTAGCAGGGGGTGCCCCTTCTGGAGGGATGCCAGCCACTCTCTAACTGTCTGACTTTGGCTAGTTTCTTCACCTCTCCGTGCCTCAGCCTCCTCTTCGGTAAAAAGAAGAAAACTATACTGTACTTTATAGAGGTATTTTCATGTTTAAGTGAGCAAATCCACATAAAGCAATAAGGGGTCCTGCCTGACACACAATAACACTCTGTAAGCGTTCACTATTATGACTTGACCCAGAAGGAGAAATAAGGAACATAATTACCTTCTTTCTCATAAGGACATATCCAAGAATCCATTTTTAGTAACTTGGAAGGCATTGTTTTTCACCCAAAAAAATCTCCTACCAGATTCCTTCATGCGTTTGCGGTTTAGCTCTAGCGCGGAGCTGAAGGATGACCATGGAGCTGGGGTGTTGAGTGCAGGTGGAGTGTCTGAGGTGCTGTGAGCCCGCCCCTCATTACTCCCTGAGATTAGGAGTCGTGAACTGGCTCCACCATCTCTCTCAGCTAATAAGAGATTTTTAAATTTACTTATCCCAAAGTGATTTGTCTGGATTTTCTTTTCTTGTGGTTCCTATTGTAGGTTTTTGGAAGAGGTTGACTGCCTAAAAGGAAATTACAAAACATGAAAATTGCTTTGAGGTGACCAAGTCCAGAGGCCCCTTGCTGCTCCCAAGCTGGACCTGAGGTGTAAGAACTATAACTTCAGGTAACAAATAAATCCCCCTCCCACACCCCCAGCAATTGATGATTATTGGCAGCTTGCATGGTAGTTCTTCCTTTAGGAAGTGCAGTTTCTTCCAGGAATTCTGACCCTTGGACCATTCTACCTCATGCGGTGGTACATAGGGGTGGTGGATTCCGGTGACACCCCATGTCTGGCGTGTGGCTTGGGGGGGCAGGGCTCTGCGAGTCGCCAAGAACCTGAGGACGAGGCTCAGAACTCATCCCTGGCCCTGCTTCTCTGGTTGTTAAGATAACAACAGCAGCCACCTAACCAGGTCTTGAATGTGATTAAATAATCATAAAGTTCTTCTTGAAGGATAAATCAGAGAGAATAGTCAGGAAATTTCTGAAAATAGAGAGCAATGAGAGGGAAAGGATTTGTTCTGCTAGCAATTACAGTGTGCTCTAAAGCCACAGTCATAGAAACCGGACAGTACTGGAGTGCAAGTCACTAGATGAGACCACAGAACGGGACGATCAGTAATGGTGGTGTTTCACATTAGTGGTTAGCGGGATGTCTGGGCTGGTCGGCGGTGTTAGGAGAAGTGCCCTGTCTATTAGGGAAATGAGGAAGTCCTAAGCATGGGGAGTAGAGCAAAATGATTTCCAAATGGATCCAAGTGCTAAATAAAATTACAAAAATATTAGTAACAGAGAATATTTATATAGGTCAAAAAAGTGTTTTAAAACCTGTCACTTTTAGTACCTACATAAACGCCATAAACAAAGTTAAAAGGCAAAAAGGAAAAAAATAGTATGATGAAGAAAGAATATTCTTAATATGAAAACTTATTAATGCGTCCAACATCTCCTTATTGAGCACATACTGTGTGCTGGAAAGTGTTCTAGGCCTGAGGACACAGCAGCAGATATTATCTCTGCCCTCCTGGTACTTGTCGCCTGATGGAGAGGACAGCCAGTAAGTGAGGTGAATTGTTGTAGGTCACATTTCGACGTAGGCTATGGAAAAAGCATTGAGCAGGGCGCTTGGTTGGGGAAGGTTGGCAGGGTTTGTATTATGTGGATGTTCAAGGAGGCTTCACTGATGTTTGAGTGGAAATACAAAGTAAAGGAGAAGTGGTCAAATGTCAAGTTGATAGAATTTGCTGTGTTTTGAATGTCGACCTGATAGGATTTGCTGGTGGATTGGATGCAGGTTGTAAAAGAGATGAGTCAGAGTGACTTGTAGGTTTAGGGTCTGGCATGCAGAGGAACTGAAGTACCACTGACATGGGAGTGACAGAGGGGCTTGGCCTGGGGAGAATCAGGGGGTTGGGTTGTGGCTGTTTCAGCCTGAGGTCTCTGTTGTATACTCAGATGGAGATCTCAGGGGGTGGTTAGTTACACAAATCTATACTTTAGAGAAGCATTCAGGCTGGAGATAGAAATTTGAGAGTTGTCATAGTGCAGGTAGTATTTGAAACAGTGACACTAGGTAGGGCTCCTGGAGAGTGAGTATAGACAGAGAAGAGGTCCCCCTCATCCATGGGACCCTCATTTACAGGAGCGGGAGGTGAGGAAGAGCCAGCTAAAGAGCAAAAGGAAGTGGCCACCGAAGTAGATTGAGACCTCGGAGAAGGTGAGACGATGGGGAGGGTAAGGTCAGTTCTCTGGATGCTGCTGGGACAGGGAGGAGGATATGGAGAGCTGGCCGTTGCATCCAGCATGGGGGAGGCCACGCAGAAAGGGCTGTTTTTATTGGAATGATGGGGACAAAAGCCTGATGGGAGTTGCATTATGGCAAATGTGAGGAAAAGAGCTGGAGGCAGAGAAATGGAACAGTGGCGAGAGAATGATGTTCACAAGAGTTTATTTTTCTCAAGATTGTCGTCACATAACTCAACTGATTTTATCCAAATGGGAATGATCTGGCAGCATGGGGAAAGTAGGTGAGGTGATGCGGGATTGGGTCGAGTGGGGGGCTCTACAGTGGTGGGGTCAAGTAGACAGAAAGGTGGTAGCCAGGCCCAAGTTGGGGCTGGGGGTTTCTCCCACGGAGCATCAAGGTGGGCTAGCCGCCTTGGGCCGGCTTCTGCTCGGCTAAATGCAGGTGAGGGCTGGAAGATATTGGAAGCTTGAGAAGAGGGCATGGAGTATGAAGTCTTCCATAGCAGGGTGAGAAAGTAAGTGGCCAGGGGAGTGAAGGATTGCTGGGGAGCACTGGGGCCTCTGAGGGGTGTCTTTCCTCCAGCCGGTCCTGGTATACAGGTGAGCTCGAGGTGGGAGGCCCCTACAGTAGAAAAACAGAATGCAAAGAGACAGATGCAAGGGGAGGCAGAAACATGCCTGCAGACTCGGAGCACTATCGGTCGTAATTGAACAATGCGAGGGGATTTAAAAGCAAGGGGGTTTTCCTTTTTTCCCTTCAGATTGGCAGGAGCTCTTGTTGGGTATAGAAATTACTGGAGCTTTTCTGGAGCACTGTGTTTCAGTATGTTCCAGAATATACAGTGGGTGTCCCCTTTGCCCTGACAGGTCCACTTTTAGAAATTTATTCTGAGAGATAATAGCTCAAATGCAAGGAGATAGATTCACAAAGACGTTCCCTGCAGCAGTGCTTGTAAAAGTGAAAAATTGGCACACACCTGACGAGAGTGGGTCCTGGTTCACTCCTCTGTGAGCATCATAGTAATAGTGGCAAATAGTGGCTCACACTTACCCTCTTGTTTTGCAGATGAGGGAACTTGGGCCCAGAGGGAAGGAGTGACAGCTCCAGTCCTACTGCGCAGAGCTCAGGCCCCTGACGGCGGCAGGCACAACCTCTTCCCCTGGGTTTGGAGTTGCAAGGTGCTTGTCAGCTTCTTTACGGGGGCCAGTTTAATTCGTAGTCCTTTTAAAATAGGAATTCTCAGTTTGTCAGCTCATTTGTTTACAATGTCTTCATCTCACTATGCAAGGTTTTGCTTGTACAGGATGCTGGGTACAAAATGACAGTGGGGGACAACAGGACAGATTTGGCCTGGGCCAGTGACAGAGAGGGACCCTATTTTCCTGACTCCCAAGTAGGACGTAGGGGGTAAGAAAGGATATTTCTTGCTTTCCTGCGGCTTCTACAAAAGTGGTAGCAGGAATACAAAGATAACAAGCAAACCATGTTTCTTTATTCTATTGAAAATATTTATTTTGGTAGGAAAAAATTAATTAACTTTCCGAGCATGTGTGGAATACCTGGTCCCCTCAGAGGGAACAGCACTGGTGGTAACCCAAGAGCCTTGGGTTTCAGTCTTCCACACCCCAGCACAGGGACCTCTAAGAAGCCACTCGGTCTCTCTGGGCTTTTGTGTCTCTACCAGAAAAATGAGCCTGCTGAGGTCGGCTGGTAAGAGATGTGGCTGTAAACAGCCTCAGGTCCCTCCGTCACGCCACCCTGAGTTTTCCACCACTTTAGAAATAAACACACCTCTGTGTCCCCTTGTAATGATTTCAGAGCGTCCAATGGCAGACCAGAGGATGGACATTTCTTCAACCATCAGTGATTTCATGTCCTCGGGCCCTACTGACCTGCTGTCCACTTCCCTTGGCACCAGCGGCGTGGATTGCAACCGCAAGCGGAAGGGCAGCTCCACTGACTACCAGTAAGGCCTTTGGGCTTTGTCTTCCTCTCCTTAAACTTGGTACCTGTTCATGGAACACCTAGGGGCCAGCTACTGATTTTCCTGGAAGAAGGGATGGGGGCAGAAGGCCCTGGTCTAGGTGGCCACACGTTTGGATTTTGGCTTTATCTTCTTCCTGGCTATAAGCAAGGAGGGCGCCTCTAACCCTGCTGAGGCATTTACTTTCCCCTCTGGTCTCTGCATTGTTCCACATCGAGGGAAAAAGAACAGCTTTAAGGCCAAGTTCCTCTTTTTTACCCCTTTCTTCCTCTTCCTCTGCCCCTTTGAGCAAGAGAACTGATTTATGGATGTCATCTCAGGAGTTCAAAGAGGGGCCTCTCTCTGAGCAAGGCAGAGGGCATCAGGCGCTAACTTACCATCTCCAGAATGAAGGAGTAGAGGTCCTCCCTGCAGACAATTTAGGAACATTGAGATGTCCTTAAATATAATTTGAATTAGTATGAATCTGTTATGTTAAATAGTATTTTTTTTCTTTTTAGACTTGATGGCTTTTCTTTTGAGTAAGTAAATTTTCACACACTTATAGTCAACTCTTCTCTGTGTGTACAGACACGTAGGGAATAAGGCAGTGTAGAAAATTCAAAGGCACATTTTGTTTTGCTGAGGCAAACTGCGTGAAATCTTACCCAAATGTCCATTTAAGAGGTTTTCTTTTGTTTAATGAGGGAAAATCTCCAAGGAGGTATCCCCCTACAGCAGATGTCCTTTCTGCTGAAGTTCACAGGTCGAATTTGGGGAGCACAATGGCTGGAGGTCAGATGCCCACTAGGAGATGCTATGATTAATATGTAAGTTATCCCAGATAATTAAGAGAGCCAATGCCCAGGGGCTGGAGAGTGGGTGAGGGCTGCCAGGGTGTTCTTCCGCAGCAGGACTGCCCCGCAGAGAGACCTCGAGACGTTTTCCATGAACCCTCTGTCTCGAGCAAGTGTAGGTGGAGCTGCCTGTGTGCTCTGAGACCTCTGTTGTTGAGGTCTGCGGTTTCTAGCCTGGTCACCGTCCAGGGCCCTTCAGTTTTCCCGTGTAGACCCCACTTTGTAAACCTTCTATAAATCAGGGGACTCGATTAATGAAGCAGCCACACTCCCTTTCCCTGTCACATTAACGTACTGAAGTCATGTGTGACTGCCAGGCACAGCTTTGCCTCTCCTGAGCTATCACTTGGCCTTGAGGAGCAACTGCAATCCTAGACCAAAGGGAAGGGGGAGTTTTTGTTTCCCGAGCCGCCTGTGATTTCCTCTAAACTTTAGGACGAGCTAGAGAAACTCCTTGCCTGTGAGGAAGCCAAGGGCACCTAGTTGGGAGCATTGCTCTAGAGTGCCTGAGACGTGATCCTGTGCTCCCAAAAACAGTTGTTTCGCCCTTGAGATCACATTGTTAGAAGGGCCATAATCTCTCCTTTCTTATGAAAAAGGAGAGAAGCCCAGTTGGCCATCAGTGCCCTCCTGATGCATTTAGGCTTTGTATAAGGCTGGGAGTTGACCCCAAGGGAGATTTGGTGCTTCCACTTCTAGGGATTTCAGTCGGTTTTTACTGAACCACAAGATGCCATGACACTTGAATATGTGGAGTCTGTGACAAGGAGGCAGATCCCTGTGTGACAAAAGGACCCTCTGTGGCCCTCAGTCCCTCGGCTCTCCTCCATCCCAGTTCCTCAAGCCTAGGGGTTCCCAGCTAGCTGGTGAGCAGAGCGTTGGTGGCAGTGCCTTCGGAAATCTGCCTGGGGCTCTGCACAGTATTGGTATTTTAATCCCCCTCCTCACTTCGCCTTCCCACCCCCCCCACCCCACCAAATTAGATATATGTTTGCACACGTATCTTTGATGCTTCGTATGTTTTGCAAATGGAATTAGCTTCATTTATCCAGAATGATGGGGGGAATGGTCGTTTTGGATACTTGGATACTGTGGTTAACTGAGCATTTTCATAAACACTGTGTATTCCCAATTTTCAAACAAACAATGGTAAAATATGTGTTAACATGCACAGTCTGTTGAAACTATAACTTTTATTTGATAATCTGGAAAGCCAGTATAGGTTTTATAGTAGGGTCAAGTTAATAATTTTTGGTTTTTGGTTTTACTGTTATACATCATGGATCAATACTATGATGATTTGAACTTTCTAATTGTTTGGGTTCTGGATAAATGACAGCCTTCTGTCTTATGGTAAGAAGCTATTCTCTACGTTTGTATTAATAGACAGTCAACGTTCTCTCTTGTTTTTTCAGAGAAAGCATGGATACAGACAAAGATGACCCTCATGGAAGGTACCATGAACCTAGTAATTTGAACTTCAGCATCCTTATAGGAATTGTCTTTGCACGATTTCACGTTCTGTTATATGGGGCAGGTTCCACCCATGTCTTCAATTGGAGATGAGTAAGGAGGCCACGAGCCACGGGCTCAGACTGTCTCCCCCCAACCCCTAGTCCCCACATGTCTATGGAGAAATGACAGGGGTTGGGCAGGAAGAAAACAGCAGTATATAGCTTTGCCATTCATCTTTAGGGGATTATGTTTTTATCTTTTGCCTTTTCTTTTTCAGGTTAGAATATACAGAGCACCAAGGAAGGATCAAAAATGCAAGGTAAGCTTGGGCCTTATTTTGTCTGTAAACTGTTGTCGCTTCAGTTGCTTAGAGGGCAGCTGAGGAGGCTCTGTGTGTTTGGTCTCATCTGTCTGACAGTCCTTTCAGGCACCGTCACATCCCATCCTTAGGGAGTAGGTCGTGGACCTTGGCTTGATGTGGCCTTCTATGCTCCACTGTCTCCAGGCTGAGCTGCCCCTTATCTTTGCTGTCTAAGTGCACTTAACCTGAAGGCCACTTTAGAGGTAACAAAAGTCAATGAAGGCTCCAGTTTTTCCCCAGTCTTCAGCAGATTACTCCTTCCTGACTCCAGAGCCTTCTAGAAGCCACAGGGTTCTGTGACTCAGCTCCTGGGCTATCCCTTGCCTCTGCAGGGGGCCTCCCCACATTTAGGGTATGCCCAACTCCCTCTAGTAGATTCTCTGCCTCCAGCCACACTTGCTGATTCCTTGCCAATCCTCAGGCTCTTCTGCCATTGAACAGGACCCTCTGAGGGTGTGTCATGGCACACAGATGAAGGGGGCTGCAGAAAATGGCTGACATAACAATTCTAGCTTTTCTCTCGCAGACCAGACTTTCCAAGGGTCTATAGAGGTCTGTATGTACAGCAGCTGCAGCAAACTGCATTTCCGCTGTTGCTACACCTCCTTAGGAGGACAGCCACTGTGGCAGGTGTAAATCAGTTAGGAGAGTGTGCCAGGGAGGTGTCACCCTGCCTCAGCAGGTGGCCTCTCCTGGGAGGGAGGAGCGTGACATGCCTTGGAAGACACTTTTGGGGACAGATGTTGCATCTAGGTAGTCCAAAGAAGGTGACATTCATTATGGGATGCCTCATTCAGTGAGTCTGAAATCTTTCTTCTTTTTGAGACAGAGTTGTCTTATGTTGCCCTTGGTTAGGTACCATGGCGTCACAGCTCACAGCAACCTCAAACTCTTGGGCTTACGTGATTCTCTTGTCTCAGCCTCCCAAGTAGCTGGGACTACAGGTGCCCGCCACAACACTCCACTATTTTGTTGTTGTTGTTGCTGTTGTCATTATTGTTTTTAGCAGGCCCAGGCCAGGTTCGAACCTGCCAGCCCCAGTGTATGTAGCTGGCACCCTAACCACTGAGCTATGGGCGCTGAGTCTGAAATGTTTCTTCTTAATTCTAAGGATGAGGTAGCATGAAAAAGTAATACCTGTCAGTGAGACCATGAGACAGTCTGCAAATTCTGAATTTGCCTTGTCAGATGAATAAAACAGTTACAACTCATTTATTTTTGTTGTTTCCTTGTTGCTTGGTCCCGTTTTATAAGAAATAATTTTTCTCATTGTTGTTCAGGGAAGCTCACAGTCAGATTGAAAAGCGGCGTCGGGATAAAATGAACAGTTTTATCGATGAATTGGCTTCTTTGGTACCAACGTGCAATGCTATGTCCAGGAAATTAGATAAACTTACTGTACTAAGGATGGCCGTTCAGCACATGAAAACCTTAAGAGGTGAGACCCATAAAAGCTTTATGGTCCTTTATGTCTTTGCCCACAAATGTTCCCACCCTTGCCTAGAATGTTCCTGAGTCCCTAAGGCAAATATTTATTACTCATAAATATGTAGCCTTGAAAAATCTGTGTGCTTTTCAGCAATAGCCATGATGCCAAAAGAAGTGATGATTGTGCGTACATGGATATTGAGATTCAGTTTTGCGGTCACACGTCCTCAGAGCACGGAAGCTACGTGCTTTCCCTGTCTCTGTCTGTGCATGTACCTGGGCCGCATGCACATCAGAGAGGACACCGCTGACGTCTCATCCCGCCTCTGCGTGTGTCTGTATCCCACCCTTACAATTTTAACAAGCAGAAATGGAGGTGCACACAGTGACACTGAAAAGTCAGTTTTTAAGAGAGAAAATCCATCCTGGTTCCTCAGAAGAATGAGTCACTGGTTGATGGTTCTTCCAGCGTTTTATTGTCAGGAATGAACACTGAGGATATTTTCATCTTCCTGGAATTTTTCCGAACCAGATCGACTCTTTGTGAGGGAGGCAGTGTTTTCCTTCTTTTCTGAATGTGGGGAGGGTGAGAATACAGAGGCAGAAAAGTGGAAGCGACTTATCCAAGCCACAAGAGAAAGCTGAAGTATATCAGGCATTCCAGTGAGCGCTGTTCCTGGAATTTTCCATAGCTAGCCTTGGACTGGGGAGGAAACTGGAAAGTGGGCGCTCAGTCGGATCTCTGACCAGCATGGTGAGAGAATTGTGTCTTTATATTTGTAGAAAGGCACCACAAAGAAGAAGTAGCTGGTTTTGTCTGGCTTTTGATTGTTGTTCAAAAATACAAATGCTGTACCCTGTGCTTGGAGAGTGGCATTTGAAAATTCATATCAGCAAAGATGACATGAGTTAAATTATTGTAAACTGATTTCTAAACTGGGAGGGAAAAGTGGCAAATCTCAAGTTACAATGAAAAGCAGGGCTGTGGATCAATAGGACATGCCCTATTAGCTGATGGGAAAGTCACAAACACACCCTGGTGCTCCCTGTCCCCGTGATGTTACAGAGCCCTTCATTGTATTCCTTTCCTATTCTACACATTCCAAGTCATTTACTGGTGGCATTTTCTCTGTTGAATTATTGCTGTCCTGATAAGTGCCAGACTGACAGCTTTTAAAAACATAAATCTTGCCCCCTTTTGGTCCTGGGAGCAACAGCTGCATTTGCTGAAGTCACGCACTTCTCCCGGTTGCCGGGCACATTCACCTCACCCCCGATGAGGAGGAACTCACACGAAATGCCTTCTATGATCTATTTACTCAGGGCCCGGCAGGCTGGTTGATTTCCCGAGGACATCCCGAGTGGGGACTTGAGGGACTGCTAGACAGTCTGTTTCTTACAGATCTCGGGAGGAGGGAGCCTCCCAGGAGAGCCTCTACCACTTTGCTTCCACGCCTGCCTTGTCTCCTAGAAGCAGATTTTTAACTTCCTTCTGTTATCTCGTGGTTTTCCCTGTAATGAGAAAAGCAAGCTTGTTAAGTCTCCTGTGGGTAACAGTGTTCTCTTTTCAATGGAATTCACTTCGGCATTACAGAAGTCTGTTCAAAGGCAGAGCTGAGCTTGTCTCAGTTAAGGAAAAGGAAGATAAAATGGAAATCCCAGGTGGTAGGGACTAGGCCTCATGCAGAAGGCTTGAGACAGTGAGGTAAAACATCTGAATATACAGTGTATCAACTCTTGTCTTTTTTCCCCCTAAGGTGCCACCAATCCATATACAGAAGCAAACTACAAACCCACTTTTCTATCAGATGATGAATTGAAACACCTCATTCTCAGGGTATGTTGCAATTATGAGATTGTTTTACACAATATTTATTTGTATAAGTTTCAGAGTAAGTACCTGCATGTGGAAATTTGGTCTCAACACTCAGATTTTTTTTTAGGCCCACTTCCTCCTCCAGGTCTCTCTGCCTTTATCTTATTGTTTGGCCAGGCTTCTCATTCCTTCCACAAAACCTCTTTCCTCCTCTAACCTCATTTAGGCAAAAATGGAAGGTTTATGCTATTGTGATTTTAAATCAGAAGAGGCACGATTTTGTTAAAAATAGGAGGGATTTAAGAATCACATTTCTTTAAAAAAAAAAAATTCTTCTGCATGAAGATTTTAGAAAGGGACTGAGACTGACTATAGTTGAGAATTTCTCGTGCCCTGACTTAATCACTGGCACAAAATGATCCAACTAAATCTTTACACCAAAATTCCATTAAAACGACAAAACTTCTAGACTTAGTGGCTTGAAAAAGAAAATTAATGGAAGAGGTGGGTGATTTAGCTGGCTTGACTTTTGTGTTCTCTTTGTCTCTGCGGAGAAATGGCTCAGGTGGCACCATAGGAACTTGTTGGCTTCTGTGCAGAATTAGGTTTGCAGAGGGCTGGCTCCAAGGCACACTGCTGGGTAGAGCGGAATTAACTTGGGGATTGACAGGAAAGAAACTGGATTCAGAAACACGTCATCTTGCCAAGTATGAAAATCAAAATGAAAAAACCTAACTAAAAGCAAGGATACCCACTCCTGCCTTCCACAAAGCCAAGAGTGACCTCAGCTTCCCCAGCTCCCCACAGAATCTTGGTCCCTGTCTTTGAGCAGAGGTGTGCAAAGCCCCACCTCTAACGAGTAGTCTGGCCATGTTTTTACATCATCTCCATCCATTTTCATCTCAGCCTGGCTCTCGGCTCTTCATAAGCGTGGCCGGTCTGCTCACTTCCGGATTCTCTAGTCATCTTGTCATGCTCTGTCAATCAGAAGTCGTTTAGCAGTGCACAATAGGGGACCGATGAATAAATAGGGTTTTGATTCTCATGTGTACCTGATTGTGGGTAGGTGGTATAGGGTTGCTGTGCAGTGAGGTCAGTAGGAACCAGGTTCTGTCTTTGTGTGCCAAGCTGGCCTGCCAACAGGTTTCCTTAATGTAGCAGGATGGCTGTGTGGGGCTGAATAGCCAGGCCGACTAGAAGACACAGGTAGGGAAGGCGCCGGGTTGGTTGTCCTTTCTATCAGGGAGGGATACACCTCCCTGGAAGGCCAGCAGTAGACATCAGCTTATCAGAAGTGTGTCACTTGGTCACTCCTAGCTGTAAGGCAAGGTGCAGAAACAAGTGAATATGGATTTTCCGACTTCATAGTGGAGACAGGCGGGGATGAAGGGGTAGGAGGGGTTGGGAATAGGGTTGGGAGCCACAGCAGTATTTGCAATGCACACTTTCCAGAGCCACAACCATTTTCTGGGTTTCCCTCCCAAAGCGGCTCCCACAACCCGAGGCAGCATTTCACCTGCAGTGTGGTCAGCTGAGGGGAACGGGGCAGGGGTCTTCCTTGCCTAACATCGTTGTGGGCAGCTGCGGTACTGCCCCACCCCAACTCTCCTGTGCATGAATTATTGTTAGGTCAGGTCTTTGACATCTTATATAGGTACAGTTTGTGTTTCTTGAACTCAAATAGGAGATTTGAGAACTCAGATAGGACTTCTCTTTTATCTCTGTCAAAATGTGTTGAATGTCCGTCCAGCCTATCACTAGTGACGCTTTGAATCTTTGTGTGGCTTGTGGGTCTAATCTGGTGCTTCTGTGCCTTTCATTCTCTTTCATTCATGAATTCACTGACATGTGGCCTTGTTGTGGGAACATCCAAATCAACGACTGACAATTCAGAGTGGGGCCCAGGCTTCCTAGCAAGTGAGTGATGATGGCACTTTGGTTACCACTCTCAGGGCACATTAATTCAGACCCCTGACTCTGCCCCCACCTCTCCATTCTCTTCATAAAGATGTCTGTGTTCTCAGAGAGGAATCACTGAAGTTAAAATATGAGCTGTGCCTCCAACATCTCTGGAGCTGCCCTCAGGGACAGTTTTATAGGCGTGTAACCTCTGTAGTCACGTAGGGCCCCATGCCTGGTGTAATGCTCTGTTGCCATCTTGAAAATCTTAATTGTTGAACATGAGTCTGTGCATTTTTATTTAGTGCTAGGTCCCACAAATTGTGTAGCTGGTCCTGATTACCTTGCTGGTAATTTGATTGTTTTAAGAAAAAAAGTACATGTATTTTTATTTTTTATATACAGTAGAACCTCCGTAATTATCCACCTCCCTACCTTGACCACCTCCTTAAGTTGACCTAATTTTCATGGAGTAGCCATGCACCACATGTACTGTCTTTGCAGTAGGCCACGTTCCTTAGGTTGACCACCTGTGTATGTTGACCAGTTTGTTAGTCCTTTGGCTAGTTGACTCCCCGATGTTCTACTGTGTGTGTTTGTATGTACACACATATATCCGTGTATGTATGTTATACATCAAGGTCCTTTTCAGTGACACCTGCTTAATACTTTTCTTGCTGCTGCTTTCCTTAATGATTTCAGATGCCGACGTTTATCAGGGCATGGAACGAGGATTATAATGCTGTTCAGACTAAATGCTTCATCTCGGGCTTGCCTTGTCTGCTCCTCTGTTTCGTATAGCACTCATAGTGATCTGTCTTTCCTGAGGAAACTCCTGTCATCTCTCAGGCACATGTCAGTACTGGGCTGTGAAAAAGGCCCCATCTCTTGCTACTCCCAGGTGCCCAGTTCCTGGGAATTTGCTTCACCAGAAGGCGGGGACCACTCAGATGATGTTTAGACAGTTTGGCGGCAGGAACTAAACTTCTGCTTTTGCTCACCATTGCGAATCTAACTGCTTTCTTTACTAGGTGCTTTCAAAATATCTTTAGTAAACTGTGTGTCAGGGATCGGTCAAACTTACCGATTTCAATGTCTAGATACTCTATTTCCCCATGTTTTGAAAACCAGGCAGGCCATCCCAAGACCTCTGTGTCACTTGCTAACTAACATCCTCATCCCCAGGCGTGAACTTGCCCCTGGGTGTCCACGTGGCCTCGCGGTGTTCTTAGTGCTTCGTCACCAGCTGGGTCATCTGCTAGAGCGCAGTGGAGCTTGACTGCCCTATGTGGCACGTTGTCTGGTCCGGGAACCTGCTCACTGTCCCCTGGGACTGTCAGCATCTACCTTGCTCCGCAGCTCAGCCCAGCACCCTCTAGATGGCACAGCACCTTCCCAGACACATTTCCAGCCACATCACCACATCAATGAAAAGCCTCAAAACACTTCTCTTGTGAGCTGTGAGATTGTCTGCAAGGCAAATGAGGAAGTTATTAATACCCTATTTTTTGACAGAATGAGGCTTCCAGCAGATGGTGCTTGGAAAGTTACTTCCCCCTCACTGTCATGCCTTGCCCCCGGGCCCGCTTAGGGACCTAACTTAGGAAAGGATCCTCCCCGGCTTCCTTCTGGCTGGGTGGCCTGCCAGGTTCTCACAGCAATGGTGATTCTGTTCCCCTCCTGCTCACTCTACCCCAGCGCAAGTACTCACACCCTTCTTTTATTTTCTGGCATGTGAATTCATTTCCTGGTTCTTTGAATTAAACTACATTCCTTTCGTAAAAAAGGGAACAGAGTTTCTCTAGATTTTTCCAGGGAACAAACTGAGGATTAGTGAATAAAGCTAGAGATTGGCTCCTGTGTATTAGACCAGGGAGCTGAGTCTGGAGAGCAGGGGCATGACAGGGTGGGGAGCACCTGACCACCTCCAGAGGCTCCAGCGCCTCTGAGCTGAGCGCATGTCCACCTGGCCAGGCTGTGGATAGAACTCACCCACATGCAGACAGGACAGCCACAGCTTTGGTATTTAATTGCTTCAGTCTGTATACCTGTCTTCACTAGCACATTGGATTATTACCTGTATTTAAACTAAAGAAGGGCGAAGAATTCAAGGGGAAAATTTTGCTTTGCTTTTCTTGTCTCACTTAGAATACAAATAGCCCAACCCTGGATGAAAGGATATCGTATTTGAGAACAGAAGTTCTCAACCCTGTATACATTAGAGTTATGTTGGGGTAGGAGTGAGGTGGAGACTAAAGAAAACCCCTGTGAGCAGTTCTGTGCCTGACCAGCAGCATAAAAACAAACCAAAAACACCAACCACTCCAATCGCTGAGAACCACTGTTCTAGAGAGCGCCCTGTAAGGGAGGTGTTCACGTTGAGGACAGATGGTGGCTGAGAATTAGAGAGGGGATTTTGATCTTAAAGAGTCCTTCCAGTCCCAGATTCTATGATTCTGCATAGAGATGTTATAATTAGAGCAATGAAACGTACTTTGTCTGGCCCAAGATACAAATCAAAAGAAAATTCTTAAGATAAATTCTGCTTAGAATTAGAACTAACTTTAATTGGACTTTTCCCTATAGCTATTAGATAACATATGGAGATACACACATATACACACATGCATAATATCTGCCTTGGAGAGAATTGTATTGTTCTCCTAAGGAATTTAAGTATCCTTTTATTAGGATAGCAGAGAAATTATCAATGAATCTTCTTATGCTTTGGATACTTAGAAAATAAATCCTTGATTTGCTATCAGGGTGCTTACAAATCATGTTTCCTAAAGTGTGATAAATTGATTGTCCATTTCTCCTGATTAGGCAGCAGATGGATTTTTGTTTGTCGTAGGATGTGACCGAGGGAAGATACTCTTTGTCTCAGAGTCTGTCTTCAAGATCCTCAACTACAGTCAGGTATTGTTTATGCTCTTGGTGGTGGTGGGCACAGCAGTCAGAAATGTCATCTGTTCTTCAGAATAATTATAGTATACAAGTCACATGTGAAATTCTTCTTTCAGAAAATTCTAAACTTTTTAACAGAGAAATGAATTTAAACTTAGGGAAATCTTTTAATATTTCTCCCATTAAAAGATCTGATTCTCTAATGGGAGCAAGAGCAAAGAGCAAGACCTTGTCTGTACGAAAAGTAGAAAACTTAGTCGGACTTGGTGTCGTGCACCTGTAGCCCCTGCTACTTGGGAGGCTGAGGTAGGAGAATCACTTGAGCTTAGGTGCTTGAGGCTGCAGTGAGCCTCACGACGATGCCATTGCACTCTAGCCCAGGCTACAGAACAAGACTCTGTCTAAAAAAACAATCTGACTTGGATTTAATCAAAAGCATTATGGCTTCCTTATTATTGTAAAATAAATTCCTACGACTGCGGAGTGGGGGCAGGGAGCAAGAGGCTATCTGCCAAGACAGAGGGGCAAGCCTCTCTATACAATACCAGAGAAAAAGAAACTTGGGAATCCACCCCTACTGCAGTGCTGTGTCACTCCTTAGTGTTGCTGAGCCTCCACTTCCTCAAAAATTTATCATAATAACCGAGACCTTTTATAATTGTTTATAGGATCAAATAAGATTGACATTCATGGAAACATCCAGAACAAAGCTTTTCACCTATTACATCCCCAGAGTTTTTATTCATTCATTCCTTCATTCACTCATTCACACGCTGGTGTTTGCATGGAAGCTTGGTAGGCACAAGAACTGAAAGATCAAAAATTATACAGAGTTCATGTAAATTTGATTTTTCCAAAGTGTTTTGCTCTTTTTCGTCTCAGCGCAAAGGCATGGAGGACGTTTCTGTTGTCTCTGTTAACAGGTAAGGTGACTGAGGCATACAGTATGGCCTGCTTAAGAACAGAGGCCGAATGTAGAGCTGGGGTCAGAGCCCACAGCCTACACACCTCCTTCTGAGGTCTTCCAGCGCAATTTGTGGGCATCAGAAATGAATAAAAAAGAATACATATAGCCAAGGGTCTTGCCTTGGAGGAGCACGAACTGTTTATGTCTTTGAGCCCTTTTCCTCCCACATGTTATCAAAACCAACCTCCTCATGCCTCCTCCCTGTGTCTGTACTAGGCAGAGTGGTCACACATATGTCCAGGTTCACATATGCAATGCTTTAAATGCTTAGAGATGTATAATAAAGGCAAAGGTACAGACCATAAGCACTTGTTGCATAATTTATTTTCCACGTGGGACTGATTTGTTGTTTCTTTTCACCCGCACAGAATGATCTGATTGGTCAGAGTTTGTTTGACTACCTGCATCCTAAAGATATCACCAAAGTCAAGGAGCAGCTCTCCTCCTCCGACACCACGCCCCGGGAGCGGCTCATAGATGCAAAAAGTGAGTGGAGGAGAAGGCCAGGCATGTCCTCAGCAGCCCACGCGCAGGCGGCCGCCACCGCGCGCCGAGCAGCGGAAAGAGCCAGTGTGCGCCGTGGGCTCAGCCTCTCTGTTCCCACTTCTTTCCTTTTTCTGGGGCACCTAGGCTATCTTTGGCTAAATGGGATTATCTGTGTTCTTTTGTGTTTGTTTTACATAAAGAAGAAAAAAACTCAATGTCTAAATTTATTGGGAGAAAGTACAGCTACTTTGACGTGATTCTTTCTGATTCTTTAGACATTTTTTCCAGAACCTAGAAATTCCCAGTTGTATGCTCCTGAATTTATCGGAGTTTGATTTGTTCTCAAATAATGCCTCATTACTTTGGCTCCCCCTCCTCACTTTCTTCTTAACACATTGGAATCACCATTCACATCTCCCCCAGCTTCCTGCTCCTGCACCCCGTCCTGTGAGGCTGAGCCCCCATAGCAGTCTCCTCCATCCTGTGAGAGGCTCTGTACTCCCACAGTTAAGAGTGTGGACCCAGAAAGCAGATTGCTGGGCTCATATCCTGGCTCCACCATTCACTAGCTGTGTGACCCTCAGTAAGTTACCAAACCACTCCATGCCTCAGTTTCCTCATCTGTGAAATGGAACCTATTTCACTGGGTTGTGAAGATTAAACATGCTGATATATATGAAGCAGGCAGGCCAGGTCCTGGCATGTAGTAAATGCAGTATCAGTGTTGTATTCATCTTGGCCCAGTGCATTCATGCCCTAACTAGTGTCCTGCTTCCAAACTCCCCATGTTAATCCCTGGAGAGAACTATCACGAGAGAAATCTCCTCCAAAACACCCTTTTCATTAAGGCACCCTCTTCCTAAAAGTAAACTGTAGTCTCCCTTTGTCTGGCCATGGCATTCTTTTAGTGACCTGAGGAGGAAAAGATGGATGGTTTTTGGTCCTTGCCTTTGAGGCTCTTACCAGGAAGTTAGGGGAATGAGGAGACAGATAGCAGCCTGCATGATAATGGGTACAGCCATGGAACTAGTACCAGCATAGGGAAGGGGATGATTAATTCTCATGTGGGCGCAAGGATAGGCATCACTGAGTAGATGACAACTGAGGTGGGTTTGAAAAGATGAATTAATGTTTGCCGGGTGATGAGGGGAGGAAACGAGCAGAGGAAATGATCTGTGCACGATAGATACAGGGTGTGGAGCTGTGGCCTGCTGAGTGCTATTGGACGGAACATGCAGGGAAGCAAAGGGCTGGACCACAAAGGCCTTTTGGTCTGTGGAGACACAGTGAAGGCTCTGAGCCAGGTGGGACCGGGGTCCACTTGGCATTCTGGGAAGGACCACTGAGATGGCCATGTGGGGGGTAGACAGGAGGGGAGGGCTCAGGAGGCGCGGGGCAGCAGCCGCTCCTCAGCAGTTGCTTCCCTGGGGATGGCAGGGTGCTGTTCCCCGGCTTCTGCCCTAACACGCCGCCAGGGTTTTGTCAGGAGGCATGCACTTCAGAACCCCCGGGCTTCACAGCACAGTCATGTTCCGCTTCCAGAGATTCTAATTTGGTGGCTTCAGACAGCCCAGCCCAGTAGACACGATGCAAACCACAGACATTAGCCACGTGGGTAAATTCACATTTCCTGGTAGCTACATTTTAAAAAAGTAAAAATAAGGGAAATATTAATTTCAATCATATATTTTATTCAATTTGATCAATCCAAAATATTTTTATTTGTTCAAGTAATAACTATAAAAATTAAGTTCTTTTACATTCTTTTGGTTTTTTGTACTACGCCTTTGAGATGCTGTGTGTGTTTCACACTTACAGCACACCTCAAGTCAGAAAAATGCATTTCAAGTGCCCCATGGCCACCCATGGCTGGTGGCTCCCACATTGGGCAGCACGGAGACAGAATGGGGTCCAAGAATCAGGGCGTCAATAAAGCATTCAGGGCTACATCGGGGTGCTGATACACAATCTGGGTATTGATAAAGCATCCTTTAGCCAGGTTGAGAACGAAGGCAACCCTGCTCCCTCCTTGCCAGCCTTCCTCCCAGTGCCAGCCCAAGTGCGGCCTCCTCTGGGAAGCACAGGCTGTCTTTGCCATTTATTTCGCACTAACCATACATCATCCTGGCATTATTAATCTTTTCTGAGTGTACTTCCATTTCCCTTTCTCCATCATAAGCTCCTGTTGGACAGGAACCCCTGCTATGTTTAGTTTTTTCCCCTCAGAGCATCCCATTCTGTCCTCTCGCAGCACATTCCACACTGTAAACATTTCCAGATTGACAGCACACCTATGCATATTCCGTGTGTTAGGGCCCAAATGGGGGAGAAGTGTTAGTCTCATGTCATCAGTATACATCAGTGAGGCAGTGAGGAAAGGGCTTTGTTCAAGGTCACACTCCCCCTCCTGACAGACAACACTACCCTCAGTTTATCACATTTTGTGTATTGATTTGCAGCTGGACTTCCAGTTAAAACAGATATAACCCCTGGGCCATCTCGATTATGTTCTGGAGCACGACGTTCTTTCTTCTGTAGGATGAAGTGTAACAGGCCTTCAGTAAAGGTTGAAGACAAGGACTTCCCCTCCACCTGCTCAAAGAAAAAAGGTAACAATTAACAGTTCTTTGAAGTCCTGTAAGGGGGAAGGCTGGCTCTTGGAAGTGGAGCTCCCAGCCTGAGGACTTTTAGCTGGCCAGAGTGGTGGGTCCTAAGACTTCAGCCAAGACCCTCTTGCCCTCCCTACGTGGGAGCCACTGGGGGGCAGAGGAGACGCCGAGAAGCCCTGATGGGTAGTCATAGTGGCAGAGATTTGTGGGGAGGCTTCCTCTGTTCAGATTCTCTTTGTTCTAACGTGGTTGAGAAAGAATACTCTTAGCCATGGCCCCATCTACCTTCTGAGCACCCACCAGTCCACCAAAACCACTCTCCCTAGATAACCAAGGACCTTCCGTGTTGCTAAATGCAATGGACACTTTCCTTTTTCTTCCTTCTTGAAGTGTTCGTCACTGAGGAAGGGCTGAGGTGGTTTTTCGGATTCCATTAAACCACATTCTTCACATCGCCGCACCCTCTGCCACCGCACCCTCTGCCACCACCACTCTCTTCTTGGTTCCTTTTGCTGACCCTTCCTGTCTGTCCTGGGGCTTCTCCCTTCTGTCCACACTATGTGCCAGTGATGTCCTCCACTCCCTTGGGTCCACATGCCCCCTAAATGCCAGCAATTTGCAAGTCGATATTTCCAGCCCAGACCTACAGATTCATAAATTAACTGATTACTAAATTTACCTGTTAGGATAGCTCAAGGGCATGTCAACCATGGTACATGCCAAAGCACCATCTGAACTTCTCCTGCAGCATAAATGGTGGCACTGTGCAGCACCCTGCCCACCGCCCCCACTCCCGGTCCTCCTGTCAGTTACGAAGGCCTGCTTAGTGATTCCCTTCTACAGGAGTTAGCTGAGCCGCTCAGCCCTCTCCGTGCTGCCCACTATCACACAGCTCCAGGCTACCCTTAACCTCAACCCTCACCAGGTATCTAATGCAGGCTGCACTTGCCTCCCCCTCCACACAGCAGCCAGGTGGTCTTTCTGCCAGTCTCCTGTTCAGAACCCTTCCGTGTTTCCCCTCACTTTTAAAGAAAAGTTCAGAACACTTAACTTGGCAATGTAGCCCCCAACCCTGCCCCTCCTCTATACCTGTACATGCGTCACCTCTACCTGGAACTTCTGCCCCCTCCCCAGCAGCTCCTCTTCCCTGGCTCACTCCTGCCTCACACTGCTTGTCTTCTCACAGCAGGCTTCAGGCTTGCCATGTAGTACTTTATCGGTGCAGTTATATAGTTACTTGTGTGATTATTTGTTTTGTTTAAAGTCAGTCTTCCCTGCCAGACTTTAAACTCCAGAAGGGCATGTCTGATTTGTCTTCTGCTGTAATCAAGTAACTGGCACAGACCCCATGCTTGGTGTTGGTTGTTGAAGTCTACAAGGGTTCCCTACTTAAAGTGTCCCAAATAGGAATCTTTGCTCTGGTAAATGACACAGCAACCACTCAATCTAGAAAAGTCATTTTCTTTCTTTCCTTTAAGCCTGATATTCATATCAAATCTCAGTAGCGTTATCTTAGACATTTCTTCTGCTGGCTGGACATGGTGGCTCATGCCTGTAACTGTAGCACTTTGAGAGGCCGAAGTGGAAGGATAGTGTGAACACAGGAGTTGGAGACTAGCCTGGACAACATAGCAAGACCCTATCTCAAAAAAAAAAAAAAAAAGAAAAGTTAGCCAGTGTGTTGGTATGTACATGTATTCCCAGCTACTCAGGAGGCTGAGACAGGAAGATTGCTTGAGCAGGAGTTCAAGGCTGCAGTGAGCTATAGAGATGCCACTGCATTGGAGCCTGGGTGACAGACCAAGACCTGTCTCTAATACATAAAATACTCTTTAAAAAAAGAAAAAAAATTTCTCATGCTTTCTCCTCTGTCCCTGCCTTGTCCTCCTCTTCACTGCACTGCCATAGTTCAGTCCTCATCATCTCTGGCTGTATTATTGCCGCGGGCCTCTGAACCCTCATTCCTACTTCTGGTTTCTACTCTGTTACAAGTTCACCTATCACTCTGCTACCAGAGCATCCAAATCAGGATTTGATTTTGCTTTTTCTCTACTTACGTATCTTTCGAGGCTCTCCATTTTCTTTCTGAAAAAGCCCAACACAGTGGGTACCAAATAATCTAAGATCCTTGTAATCTGCCTCCGGCTTGCATTCCAGCTCTCCCCCCAGTGCTTCCTTTTTCACTTGAACCTTCTTGTGCAAGTTCTGCCTCTGTGGTATGTGCCATGGTGCACTCTCAGCCTTTGCACACTCTAGCCTTTTGGCCACTGCTCATCTTGATTTCTTTCTTTTATTTTTTTTCTTTTTGAGACAGAGTCTTACTCTGTCCCCCTGGGTAGAGTGTCATGGTATCATAGCTCACAGCAACCTCAAACTCTTGGGTTCAAGAGATCCTCTTGCCTCATCCTTCCAAATAGCTGGGACCACAAGCTCCCAGTGCAATGCCCAGCTCATTTTTCTGTTTTTAGGAGAGACGAGGTCTTGCTCTTGCTCTACTCTTGAGCTCAAGTGCTCCACCCACGTCAGCCTCCCAGAGTGCTAGGATTGTAGTCGTGAGCCACTGAACTTGCTCCTAATTGCTCATCTTTCTTGATCTACCTCCTACATTGGTTTTTCTGGAAAGCCTGCTTTTCCCCTCTCCGTAGGTAGATTGAGATGTTCCTTCCTTGGTATATGTCATGGCTTACTAAGCATATCGTACTAGATGACAATTGCCTATTTTTCTGTCTGCCTCTTTCACTATACATTCATTTCTGGAGAGTGAGGCCTTGTTTTTTACTTTTGATTCCCTATGTCCCTCTCCACTATCAGCTGTGTCTCCATCACCCAAACTTAGTGCTGACACTAACCACCCAAACTTAGTGCTGACACTAACCACTAACCACACTATACATTCATTTCTGGAGAGTGAGGCCTTGTTTTTTACTTTTGATTCCCTATGTCCCTCTCCACTATCAGCTGTGTCTCCATCACCCAAACTTAGTGCTGACACTAACCACGGCCTTTACTTTCTAGCAGATCGAAAAAGCTTCTGCACAATCCACAGCACAGGCTATTTGAAAAGCTGGCCACCCACAAAGATGGGGCTGGATGAAGACAATGAACCAGACAACGAGGGGTGTAACCTCAGCTGCCTTGTTGCAATCGGACGACTACATTCTCACATGGTTCCACAACCGGTGAATGGGGAAATCAGGGTGAAATCTATGGAATATGTCTCTCGGCACGCAATAGATGGGAAGTTTGTTTTTGTAGACCAGAGGTAAGAGTCTCCACATTATCCTTGAGCAGTGATGGTAGAGAATTTTCAGACCTAAGATGAAAAGCAGAGGAGACTGGGCCATCAGCTGACTTTTCTAAGAATGAAGAGATAAAAGTGATGAAGGTCTTTGCTAAAAATGAGATGGATATCATCATATCACAGAGATTTTCTCTGTGCCATTCTTTGGCATATAGAGACAGTTAAATGGGGTGGTTTGATATCCATGGCCAAAAGAGAAATAGTGGGCATACCATGTTGTCTGAATCTGTGGAATGTCCCAGGACCATTGCTATGCTTCAAACTCTAGAGTCTAGGACTTAGAAACAATCACAGTAGAACTTCTGTAAGTTGACTACCTAAAGGACTATAATAAACAGGTCAACATATGCAGGTAGATAAGATAAGGAACTAGGCCCTTACTGTACTGCCATGTGCATGTGGTGCATGTCCGATTATGAAAATGAGATCAACTTAAGAATGGTCAATGTAGGAAGGTGGTCACCTATGAGGGTCTACTGTGTTTAGTCCTGAGCTGCCAGCAGAGTACTTATTGGCCATAATAGCCTCATATGGCAATTCAAATTTGAATTTATTCAATTAAAATTAAAGACTCCATTCCCAGGCGCACTAGCTACATTTTAAGCATTCAGCCGCCACCGGGAGCTGATAGCACAGGCGTAGAACGATCTCATTATCACAGAAGGTCCTGTTGGGCAGCACTGCTCTAGTCCACCATCCTCATTTTATGGATGAGCAACGGGGGCCCAGCCTAGGGACGGGCCTCCTGCAGGATTCTCAACTAATTGGTGATAAACCAGACTGAGAACACAGATGTCCCCAATTTACTGCTGCCTTCAGGATGGTCACAGGCTAACAATTTTTCTGCCTACCGGAGTAGTCACAAAATGCTGGAGAAGGAAATAGCCACCTTTCAAGGTCCTTGTGGCCTTAGCCACTGAAGAATTTGGTGTTTAATTAGATAGAAAGTGGCAGTAAGATGGTGAAGCCTTGTGCTGGGCTTTAGGTTTCCAGGTCATTTTTATCTTATTATCTTTATCTTTTTATCATTAATCTTGTTACCATTTTAAAACTTTCTAAAACTTGATTTCTTGTGATGATAATCCCTTTAACAGGATTCTTTGTTTTTCTGTTTTTATAGCATTGATTAAATTCAGATGCCTTTAAAAAAAAAAAAGAGAGAAAGATCCACACAGTAAGCTCGCTGAAAATCCACCCAGCTTTTTTGCCTCCAGCTTTGGCTTTGTTCCCATAGGTTTTAGCAGAGTTCGTCCATTGCAAAGTTGGTATTAATCATCTCAATGGCTTTTCTTTTCTAAAATATCCTTATTCCCTTTCAGGGCAACAGCTATTTTGGCATATTTACCGCAAGAACTTCTAGGCACATCATGTTATGAATATTTTCACCAAGACGACATAGGACATCTTGCAGAATGTCATAGGCAAGGTAAGCTGGGTTTATGTTTAAAGTGTGCTCTGGCTTCTAGACTAGTCCACATGCCCTTCCAGAGAAAGCTGTCCCCGGTGATGTGGAAGTCAGCTAACTCAAGCATCTTCAGGCTGAGCCACCTGTGTGTAGAGGAAGCTCCTGCCTCCAGGTGCCATTTATCTACCCCCTTACAGACATCCCACCCTGTCCCCATAGCAGTTGGGGACACTGAGAGGGTTCAGAGGGTTTACTTGGACCCTGTGAATATTTAGTATGGCCTGCACGGATCTGATTCTCTTTTCCACACAAGCCTACTCTGCCTTCTTGGCTAATGGTCCATATATGCAGCCTCCTGAGAGAGACAATATGGATCTTTTCTTTCACTGTGTTTCCACCAGATCCTAATCATTCACCTCAGACGTGCATTTCTACAGAGTTCCCTTCTTACCACTGCCACTACCATGACCCCAGTTCAAGCCCTTGTGCCCAACTAGAGACCTGTGATAGATCCGAAGGGGTTTCCCTGTTTCCTCTTACCCCAAGTCCATCTTCCATAGTTATCCCATTTTTTCTCAGATAGATCAAGCCTCATAATGTCACATCCCTACTTAAAAACTTTCTGCCTGGGCAGCACCTGTGGCTCACTGAGTAGGGCACCAGCCCCATATACTGAGGGTGGTAGGTTCAAACCCAGCGCCAGCCAAACTGCAACAAAAAAATAGCCGAGTATTGTGGCGGGCACCTGTAGTCCCAGCTACTCGGGAGGCTGAGGCAAGAGAATCACCTAAGCCCAAGAGCTGAAGGTTGCTGTGAGCTGTGACTCCACAGCCCTCTACTGAGGGCGACAAAATGAAACTCTGTCTCTAAAAAAAAAACAAACAAACAAAAAAAACTTTCTGCCTTTATACTCAAGCCTAACTGAGCATAGTGGCTCATGCCTCTAATCCTAGCACTCTGAGTGACCAAGGTAGGTGGATCACTTGAGCTCAGGAGTTTGAGACCAGCCTGAGCCAGAGAGAGACTCGTCTAAAAATAGCTGGGCATTGTGGTGGGCAGTAGTCCCAGCTACTCAGGAGGCTGAGGCAAGGGGATCACTTGAGCCCAAGAGTTTGAGGTTACTGTGAGATATGAAACCATGGCACTCTACCCAGGGTGACAAGGTGAGACTCTTGTCAAAAAAAAAAATAGACTCAAGCCCAAACTCCTGAACCAGGCCTCAAATTCAAAACCTGTCACCTCCTGGCCCCAACCGGCCTCCTCAGTTTCAGTCCCCATCTACCTGCAGAGCATCACATTGCACTGACCATTGCACTGGTCCCTGCCCCACTAGGCCCTGCCATTCCTCAGGCACTGCTAGGTTCTTCCCTCCCTCCTCTTGGCAAACTTGTGTTCATCCCTCCAGACTCTGATCTCTTCCTCTGTGTAGCCTTTGCTCACCCCCTCCTTGAGGGCAGGAATCATATCCTTTCTCCTCTTCTATCACCAGTGCCTGGCACATGAAAGGTGCTCTTCATATGCTTATTACATGCTTATTACAGTAGGTGAGTGGCTGCTATCAATTCCAGTGTCCTTAAAAACAAGATAAGGGCTGTATTGCCTTTGGGATATGTGATAGGAAAAGAGCATGGCCCCTTTGGACAGTGCCTTCTCTTTTGTTGGTGTTCACATCCAAGCTGATTCAAGTTAGTTATGTAGAATGCAGTCAGTAATCCTCTGGAGCCTTAATTTTATAAACTCTGGAAAATAGTGACAGATTCACAAATGAATTGAAAGGTTCTGAGTTAGATCCTCAAAAAAACCTGTTCCCTGGAGTGCTGACTGCTGGGGCTCCCTTGGCTTATTTCAGAATGGTGGTGTTGGAGCCTACGTGCCTTTACCATTTGATATTAGGTGTTGTGTTTAATTTGTTGTTCTGAAGAAACAACAACACTCATGGTTTCTTTGCATTTTTAGTTTTACAGACAAGAGAAAAGATCACAACAAATTGCTATAAGTTTAAAATCAAAGATGGTTCTTTCATCACACTGCGGAGTCGATGGTTCAGTTTCATGAACCCTTGGACCAAGGAAGTAGAATACATTGTCTCAACCAACACTGTTGTTTTGTAAGTGTTTTTCCTGTAAGTGCTTTCCTATTTCAGAAGCTCCTATTTCAGAGATGCCTTGAGCTCCTTACCTGGGAAAGGGGGTACAGGCAACAGCCAGTGTCACATCCGTTGATACCATCTTGCTAGTGTCCTGTGAAGCCTCAGGATTGGCAGAAGACAGAAAGGGTTGTTAACAAAGGGCCAACTTCACTACTCCATCATGCAGGCCCCAGCTTGTGGAATTGCTCTAGGAAAGAGCAACATTTCCTTCCATATAAAGCAGTCAGCCTTTGAATTCCACAGGCCCTGCATGCTGGGCATCTGCTTGTACTACCATGAAGGGAGGAGGTTGACCTGTCCATGAAAGGCTGGCCTTGGCTGAGGATAGGTAGGTCTCCATGTCTACCAGGAAGGTGGCCTAAGCACAGGCAACTAAAACATCACCTTAAAAGGCTGCCACCTGCAAGGTGAGCAGGCGAAGAGAAGGAGCCTCTCTGTGGCCAGGCCTGCTCTCATACCTTCTTCTCTGTGGTATCCAACCCCCACCTGTGGTCAGAGCTGAGCAAGGGGCTGGGGCTGCATTTACTGCAGCTGGCAGGAGGAGGCACTGTCACAGAGGCAGTGGCCTATTGCTGCCATCACCACTGCTGGACTGTGTCCCACACAGATTAGGAAGGTCCAGGCAGGTAGCGAGGCCAGAGGCCGGGATGCTGTCCATCCTATTATCAAATAGTGAGAAGAGGTGTTCACTCACTCAGACACACACTTCATTTTCTGGCCTGTCCAGGTCCAGAGTGGACACCGGGCACTTGGCCAAGGTGAAAGTTGCACGGTTCTTAGCAGGCCTGACTTACGTTTCCTTATTGCTGGGATGTTCACAGAGCCAACGTCTTGGAAGGCGGGGACCCAACCTTCCCACAGCTCACAGCGTCCCCCCACAGCATGGACAGCATGCTGCCCTCTGGAGAAGGTAACTATGTACTGCGGGCGCATGGGGCTTGCCTGTGAGAAACTGTTTGTGGTCAATACCCTCCCCTCAAGTATTCGGGGTCCCCACTATCACATTCTGTGGAAGAAGGGGTGTGCTGCTGATTTCCCCATGAGTGCTAAGGACGCTGTCATCTTGCTTTCTCTGTTGAGCTTGGACTACTGAGAACTCACTGTTGCCCTTCCCAAAGTTGTCTGGACCTTGGAAGGCCTTGAAATAACCAACTCCTTGTTCCTCTTGTGCTTTCCTCCTGTGTTGCCTGATGGCTGTGATGTGCTCTTTGGTGACTGTCACAGGCTCCTGTGTTGGGAGGAAGGTGTCTGTCAGTGCTGGGGTACGTGCCTCCCCCCCTGCTCTCTACACTGGGCTCGTCCGTCTGGGACCACCTCCGCATGCTTCGATCCCCACCTCTCTGTCAGTGGCTTGCCATCCACATTTTAGCCCCCATCCCTCTTCTGCGCTCCTGTCTCACCAGTTGCCTCTGAGACAGAGCCACCTAGAGTCAGAAGTGCCTGAAATTCAGAATATCCTAAACTGAATTCCCACACTCCCCACCTGACTGGTTGTGTAAACCAGAAACCTTGCCTGCTGCCTACCTCTCCCTCATTATATCTAAATGTGAAGTCCTGTCCGTTCTATCTCTTAAACTTTAACACCACTGTTGGGGCTGGCCCTCATCTGCTGCCCGGGTTATTGCAGGTAACTTCCCTCTGCTAGTCTCACTTTCCCCGCCTTGTCCTCCACAAGCCTTCATTCTCCTGCAGGGGGCTTTCTATCAAGCCATCCTCATTCCGTGCCTCCTCTGCGTGGAATCTGCTGGCACCCCCTTCCCCATTGTGGACACTGCCCAGTCACATTGGTATGGTGGCCAAGGCCCCTCATGACCCGCCTGCTACCTGCTGCTCCAGTTGTGTGTATGGCACCCTTGTCAGTCATGAGGAATGCCTTGGGATAGTCTCCCAAGGTTTCTCCTGCCTCAGTGCCCTTGCACATGTTGGCTGCTGTGCTTCCTCCTGCCACCTTACCTCTCTGCCAAGCTAATTTGAACTCACTTCTCAAGATTCAGCTCAGAGTTAACCTCCTCCAAAACACTGCACCTGACCCTAAATGAGTCGGGCACCTTGTGCTTGCCTGTCAGACTTACCACACTTTGCTCTAGCCATCGTTCACCTTGTCTGTCTCCTTGTTAGACTGTGAGCTCCTTGAGAGCAGGGACTTTTCTCTGGAACCCTGGCACGTAGCACAGTGATCTTCAGCAAGCATTTGTGTGAGTGCTTGCAGGGAAGGGATTAGATGCTTTCATGTTAACACGTAGGCCTCTGATCCTAGAAGGAAAATTGAGTCTTTCCCTGTGGGTTGCCTCTTCCTGATGAGCTATGGCTCTAATGTTTCTCAGAGCACAACCTTGATAGTGAACTTCAAGTGGATCATGGGATGAACTGGTTTTAATTTTAATGCATAACAGCATTTCTTCCATAGTTTTCCTTTTCCCACTCTCAGATTCCTTTGTTTTAGGTGGCCCAAAGAGGACCCATCCCACTGTTCCAGGGATTCCAGGGGGAACAAGGGCTGGGGCAGGAAAAATAGGTCGAATGATTGCTGAGGAAATCATGGAAATCCACAGGCAAGTAATACCTTCTAGTTGCTCCTTAAACCAACTCAGGGCAGTTTAATCCTCAGGGAATGTTTTAAAGTGCCTAGAGACACAATTGGGTGGGAGATGGCTGCTGAACTCTAGTGGATAGAAACCAGTGATGCTGTTTGCTAAACATGCTACAGTACACAGGACAGTCCTCCCACTCCCTGTACACATTGATGAATTATCCAGTCCAAAGTGTCAGTAATGCCAAGATCCAGAAATCCTGCTTTTGGAGGATGGATGCACATTAACACTATGGGACTGTGGGGGTGAAGCTGAGAACTGCCAGGGAGTGATCTGGGCCTTAACAAACATTCACTTCTTTCAATGAAAAAGCCACTTAGGGTTAGTAATAGAGGCAGTGAGGCAGCTCTCTCTGGGGCAACTTCCTTTCCACATGAAAGAGGTGCTGAGAGCAGCCCACCTGGGCCTGTCGCTCTACCTGACTGTGCCTAGGAGATTCACTTAACCTTTTACTCTGTTAACTCAAACCATAAACGGGAGGCACTATCTTCCAAATGTTGTGTTGGGATTGCGAGGGGGCTCAGGAAAATTCCTTGAATACAGCCTCACATGTAGTGGATGCAGAGAAATTAAATCTAGGTGTTTAAGAGCAGTCATTGAGTTATTGTAAGTCTTTCTGAATCTGAGGGATGGAAAGGGCGGTAACCAGGTTCTTCAGAGTACAGACTATTATGTAACATAATCATAGGAAAAGGAAAAATAGACAAATATCCCCTCCTTCCCCTGGATAGATTCTCAGGAGAATTGGAGGCTAGTCTGTTTTCCAGTTGGCAATGGAGGGGTCTTAGTTGGGTAGCATAACCCCACAGGATTGGCAGATATGACCTCTGCAACAGGAAGGAAGAATGGGGCTGGCGTGCAGTATAACCAGCTTCTGACCAGCCACTGCGTATCCTCTACTGTGCTTGAGATCATCTAAGGACAGTATAAAACAGAGTCCTTGACCTCAAGAATCTTGAAGTTCTTGAGAAGTCTATTAATAGTAGGAAAAGGGGGTCTGGGCATGCTGGCTTATGCCTATAATCCTAGCATTCTGGGAGGCTGAGGCGGGTGGATTGCTTGAGCTTAGGAGTTCAAGACCAGCCTGAGCTAGAGCGAGACCCCGTCTCTAAAACTAGCCAGGTGTTGTGGTAAGCTCCTATAGTCCTAGGTACTTGGGAGGTGGAGGCAAGAGGGTCTCTTGAGCCCAAGAGTTTGAGGGTGCTGTGAGCTATGACACCATGACACTCTAAGAGTGACAAAGTGAGACTCCATGGCACTCTACTGAGAGCAACAAAGTGAGACTCTGTCTGAAGCAAACAAGGGAGGAAAAATTTGAACTTGGTCTTGGCCAGAGTTTTTAGTGAGTGGGGCAGTGGGTGGGAATATTTGCTCTAAAGAGCCATGATACTCTTGAGTAGGCACGTGAGTGGCATGTTCAGGGTCAGGGATCAGGCCATCTAACTGGACAGCTCTGTGTAGGATGGAGCCACAGAGCAATGATGGCAGATTAAGAATCTCAAGAAATGATGCTAAGCAGATTGGACTGGAAGAAAATTGTATGACCCTATTCATTGTAGGATGCTGAGCTTTGTGGAAGTTGGATTAGAATAGGGAGAGATGAAGGTGGGCATGTTTGATATCCCAGGAATGAGGACTTATCCTACAGAGATAATGCCAAAAGAGAAATCAGTAATCTAAGAACTAGGTGCTGAGGAAATAAGGAATGAAGAAAAGTCAACTCCAAAATGGGGAACCTGGGAAAAAAGACTTAAGTAGGAGAAAGGTGGGAGACGGCAGTTACTAGCTATCTGTGTGTGCTGAGTATATCATATATAATTGTATCCTGCCTTGAAGGAGTTTTTAATCCAGGAGAGAAAACTTGTTCACACACAAACCTAGAGAAATATGCAGTGTAGCCAAGTGCCAAAAACTTTCAAAGATGAGTACAGGTTCAGGGTCACCCAAAAGCTACATTCATCTGTGTAGGAGCAGAGAGCCTCATGGTCACACACTTCCCACCACGTTCTCCCTAAACTCTAGCTCCAGTGCCGAATGACGGCTTACTTACATGAAGTCCTTCAGCCTGACAAGAATTTAGGTGGATTTTCAGTTCTGTAAGCCTGCCATGCTGAGAGACGTGCTAGCTGAGAAAGAGCTGGACATGATTTTTTATCAGCTACTGCTTTAGAAGGCTGCTATTATTAATGCTACTTGGCTACTTTTCAGACCCTGGTATCCTCCATTTTCTAAGAGTATTTATTAGCTAAACAGTGTTTGTAGGGAAAAGGATAAATTGTTTGCTGTGGATTCTAATATCAAAGATGGAGGTTAGGGTGGTGCCTGTGGCTCAAAGGAGTAGGCCCCATAGACTGGAGGTGGTGGGTTCAAACGCAGCCCCAGCCAAAAACTGCAAAAAAAAAAAAAAAAAAAGAGAGAGATAGAGGTTAAACTACTAAGGTCTCCTCCAACTCATCTGGATTCTATGAAGAAATAAAACTGGTCACTCACTTGGAATTCCCCATCCTGAATCCAAACCCCAATCCAAGGGCTTTGTCAATGAAATGCTTGACTTTAGGGTCTGCATTCTAGATCAGGTGCCTACAGAACAAATCCAGTTCCTCACCTGCTTTCTTAAAGTTTTATTGAAACACAGCAATATTCACTCATGTATAGATTGCCTGTGGCTTCTTTCAAGCTCCAGTGGCAGAGTGGAGTAGGTATCATGAGGACCACATGGCCTTGCAGAGCCTAAAACAGTTACTATATGGCCCTTACAGAAAAAGTTTGCCAACCCCTAGGCTAGATCTTCATCCTTTCTCATTCCCCCGCTTTGACACACTCCATTGGGGTGGGGGGAAAGGCAATATAACTGTTTTCTTCTCTGACAGGATAAGAGGGTCCTCGCCTTCCAGCTGTGGCTCCAGCCCATTGAACATCACGAGTACACCTCCCCCTGATGCCTCTTCCCCAGGAGGCAAGAAGGTGAGGCTCATGACTCAGGCTAGAGAGCCTCTTGCTCAAGTTCTGAATTGTTGGGGGTAGGAGTATAGAATTATAATTGTGGTTGCTGAAACAAATTGTGCTCTTTTTTTCTCCTTGAAGTAAATGCATCTGTGTGAGGCTGGGTACAAAGCATACCGGTGGGGCTAGGGAGGCTTGCTGACATCCTCAGAGAATTTATTCCCTGTCAGTGGAGGAGGGCAGAAAGAACATTCTAAAGAATGGGGAGTTGTCAGTTTATTTCTGAAGGAGCAATTTGAGAGTTCCCAAGAGAAGAGGATTAGTGAGTACCTCACATAGAAGTATCACATTCTCTGCCAGTTTTCAAGGGAGAAAATATTATGGTGTATAGGGAGCCACTGGAACTCAAGCCACATTTTACAGCTGCCGAATACTGGGGGATCTGCCGCCTGAGTTTCCTCTGATGTGACTGCATTGGGTACAAGTAATTTATCAGCCACCAGCCTTTAAGAGCTGGCAAGAAGACTATACTATAAGTAGGTTTAGAAATCACTAATCTGTTTTCATCTTTCCCAGAGAATTTACAAGCCTAGGCCTATGTTAATTGTAAATTATACATCTTTTTATAGTGCCTGATGTCAACATAGGTTGGGACAGCACAAAGGCAAACATTTTGGACAGGGCATCTTCCTTTCCTATCTCCCAAAACAGATATAGAGATTAAGAATTTAAGTAGGTAGGACTCTGTCAAAAGCAGGGTAGGGTTTTCAAAACTGGCTCCCCAGAAGTTCAAGTTACCAAGAGCTTGGTGGGATGGGGCAAGGGTGGTTGGTAAAGAGCTTGGGGAAGAGCAGGACTCCTGCTTCTACAAGGGCAGCAACAGTATTTTATATATGAATCTCCTATTTGACAATGGGGTTTGCTCCCCTTACAAAGTTAAAAGTCAACAAATTAATGAGTAAGAACACCACCACAGTACAGTAAACCTGGGTTTGAAGCCTGGCATTGCCTTATATTGACCCACTGGAAGTCAAGCCACATTTTATAGCTGCAGAATACTGGGGGATCTGCCACCTGGCATTGACCCTGCATAACTTTTAAGCCCTAGTTTTCTTTATAATGGGGCTAATATTGGTTAGGACAGCCAATATTTCTGCACTTGAGGTCCTATTATGAGATAATAGGAAAATAATCGGAAAATGCATTGATAAATGAAGTCTGGGCTTGGTATCCCCACCTACTGCTTGCTGCTTGTTCTTCTGTTATGCCCATAGTCCTTCTTCCACACTGGATCACCATCTGCTTAGGTTGGTTTTCCCATTTCTGCTTCTCAATTCAACTCTACGGCACTTGACTTCCTGTCATTACCAAGGATTCTGCTACTCAGTTTTTAAGGGTTATCACTCCAGTATAGGGTTAAATGTTACCTAAAGAACAAGAACTTTTATATGCATTCTCTCACCTTATTATCACAACTTTATAAATGACAAAATCCAGGCTTCCCAGCATTTGTTTATAAGTATGGCCCCAAACTATGACCCTGGACTCATGACTTCTGTTCATATCAACGACTCAGAAAGCCAAAGCTATACTTGGAGCTGCATCATAAAGCTCCAAGTATTTCTGAGGCATTGATGAATTCTTTTTCCCTTTGGGGTTTTACAAACGTTCTGTGAGAAGAAATTCTAAGTGTATTCTTATAGCCTGAACAAGATGGAATTAAACATTACAGCAGCATTAAATGATGTGCCAGAGAGTAAAGGTGGCCCCATGTTCCCAGCCCTCCCTAGTCACCTTCAAATTTGGCAGGTCCAAAACTGAACCATTAGCCTGCAATTGTTTTAGTCAGGATCAAGCTAAAAAGGGTGGCTACCTCATATCCAAGTCATAGTATCCCTGCCCCCCTCAAAAAATAATTCTGGAAAGGAGGTAGGCTAAGTGAGCCTCTGCAGGTCCCAGGAGAATATGGACATCCAGAAGCACTGAGGCAGGTTCAGATAAAGTGGAATTTCTACAGAGGTCTTCTGGGAAGGGATTGGGAACAAGATCCTGTGAAGGGTCTGCAAGGTCAAAGCTTATTTTCGTAATGATATTAAAACATTAATTTTTTCACTGTGTTGATAAAAGCAGTGTTGGTAAAACTGCTGGTATTTTGCCCAGATTGGAGCAGTGGCACCAAACTACACTAGTAGTAGTCATTGACTTCTTCCCAACCACACACTACAAATAAAAAAATAAGGAATTAAGAACATCCTTAATGAAGGATGAAGCAGTAAAAATCACTACTTTCATAAAAGCCTTTAGTACCCATCTTTTTAATACTTGACATGACAAAATGGGAAATATACATAAAATGCTTATGCTGCATACCGAAGTATGAAGTTTGTCTCAAGAAAAAGCACTTGTGTAAATATGTAAGTTGTGAGTTGAATTAGCTGCTTTATTCCTGGGGCATCATTTCTACTCTTGCAAACTACAGTTATTCAGCCTTGGGTATTTAGCATACTATTTTTTTTTTTAAATAAATGAATGAAGCAACCTCCTTCAAGGAAAACAACTTAACAGTATTTTTCAACAATGACAAAATTTGAGCTTTCAAGCAAAAAGTGTAATTTTTAGAAAACTTGTGTCTGCTACTTTGAGCTTGAGAGGTTCCTATAATGTAAAGAGGTATGTGTGGTAAGATAGGTGGTGTTAATAATGGTGATGTTTTGATGCTGTATAATGAAGAGTGTCAACATTTGGAAGATCTTCATAACTCAGTGAGGCAATATTTTCTAAGTAACCAGTACAAGATATTTCAAAAAAATTCAAGGGTAAAAGATCCATCCTAAGTGCCAAGGATAAACCAATGGACTTTAACAAAGTACAAAAAAATTCAATGATATGTTTTCAGATTCCACATTGCAACTATCCTTTAAGAAATTAACATTTGTTGAGTTTTTAGGTAGTATCAAAGGAGAGTATCTCAATTATTTAGGAAGGCTAATTAAAAATGCCTCCCTTTCCAACTATGTATCTGTGGGGAGGCTAGAGTTCCTTCCTTTACAGACTGGTTCTGTTTAGATAAATTATTAGATTTGTAAAATGTAAAACAGTGATATTCTTTTCTCAGTAATTTTTTGTTATTGTTTTGGAAAACTATTATTTTTTTCATTGAAATGCTGCTCATTCAAGGTAACATGTGTTTATATTTTAAGAATATATTAATTTTGAATATAAATGAATAAAAATGAACATAAATACAACCTACATAAAAGTTCTTTGGAGTCCTCAATAATTTTTTTTAAGAGTTGAAAAAAAACTGAACCATGGAAATTAAGAAAATTATAATGCCACCTACTGGCAAGGCCGGAAATCACTGCTTCTCCTAAAATCCAGCAGCAACTAGACTCTTTCCTCACTCCATCCAAGTACTTCTGAAAGGATGCTCATCTGAGACTCAGTTAGGGCAAAAAACCTTTGGGGGTGGGAGGAAGAGATGGGGTATGATTTGAGGGTGAGACATAATTAGAATTCTGCTACTGAGTGGTAGTAATCACATTCCTCAGTAGTGTATTTTAAGAACGTAAATGACAGGTTACTGAAGTTGGCACCTATAGTATACCTGGTGATAAGAGATGTGCTTCTAGTGTTTTATTCATTTGTGACTTCTTTTCACAGCTTGTTAACAAGTCCACTTATTTCTCTAAAGCAACGTCATTGCTCTAAGATGTTTTACTCCTTTACATGGAGAACTGCCCACCTGGGTTCACTGGAGTTTAGGCCTTGGCCTTAAAGAAATGTGGGCAACATGATTCCAAGTAGTTGAATGCTCTTCAGGATTTTATTCAGCTTTTAAGTTGCCTGTGTGGGCTAAATCAAATGAAGACAAAAGAATAGGGAGAAGTTTGTTCTTACTGTGACCATTCCTAATAGTCCTTGGTTGAAATCATCCAAGAAGAAACTGAAGCTATTCAAAGCTTCCCTCTCATCCCATCTTCTCTTTCCAGCGTGATTCATTTTCTTGGTCATTACACGTGATACTAATTGAAAATTCCATACAGGAGTAGAAAATGTCATACTTTTCCTCTTTTGTTTATAGATTTTAAATGGAGGGACTCCAGACATTCCTTCCAGTGGCCTATTACCAGGACAGGCTCAGGAGAACCCAGGTTATCCATATTCTGACAGTTCTTCTATTCTTGGTAAGTGGCATTCTTATTCATTTCCACTGCATTGAGCTTACAAAACCTGTGGCATAAAGTTTTAAGAACCGAAGTGAGGCCAGGCAGAGGGGCTCATACGTATTATCCTAGCACATTGGGAAGCAAGGTGGGAAGATTTTACTTGAGCTCAAGAGTTCAAGACCTGCCTGAGCAATATAGCAGGACCTTGTCTCTACAAAATATATATTTTAAAAAAATTAGCCAGGTGCAGTGTATATGTATAGTCTTGGCTACTTGGCTAGGAGTTTCAAGTTGCAGTGAGCTGTGATGCCCACTACGTTCTACCTGGGGCAACAAACCTTGCCTCCAAAAAAAAAAGTCTAAATTATATATAACAAACTAGTTTAGATAAACTTGGTAAGAAATATAGTAGTAGAAGTTTAACATTTATTTAAATCTCTTCTTCTTCAATGTTGACTTTAATATTCAAATTTTGACGGGGATCCAAGTTTGTCCCTGGAACTCTTAACAGGGACAAACTTGTCTACGCTACTCAAGAGGTTACAGCAGCGTAGACCAAGGCTTTCTCCTTTATGTGGCATGGTCTTTTACAGTCTCTTCAGAGGGAGGGCCAATGTAGGTTTAGAGATACAGCCTAGAAGAGTGATCAGTACACATTTCAGAGAGTATTAAAAATCAGTAAGTGAAGAGAGTTTGCTTCTTCCATCATATTCATCTTTGTCTCTACTTGTCTTTCTAGATCTTTTTTCCTAGTGTCTCCCTTCCTATTTGCCTTTCTTTTTGGAATTCCCTTCCCTTAACAGGTTACATCAAGACTGTTAAAATGAGATTGACGCAAATACTTTTAGCATTTATTGAGTTTTAAACACTGTGTTCTCATTTCTAAAAAGTTGGTTCTTTCCTCTGAAAAACAGCAATGTAAAAATAATAAAATCATAACCGTGTAGTCCAAAAAGTAGCCCCTTTTATCCTAGTATTACAAGTGTGCGTAGGAATTGCTTAGGTTTTCTAAACATGTTTTGGTACTTTTGTCACTGACCAGTCCTTATCTCCTCCCACAGGTGAGAACCCTCACATAGGTATGGACATGATAGACAATGACCAAGGATCAAGTAGTCCCAGTAATGATGAAGCAGCAATGGCTGTCATCATGAGCCTCTTGGAAGCAGATGCTGGGCTGGGTGGCCCTGTTGACTTTAGCGACTTACCATGGCCGCTGTAAACACTACATGTTGCTTTGGCAACAGCTACAGTATCAAAGTGCATTACTGGTGGAGTTTTACAGTCTGTGAAGCTTACTGGATAAGGAGAGAACAGCTTTTATGTACTGATTTCATAAAAGCCATCTCAGAGCCATTGATACAAGTCAATCTTATTATGTATAACTTCAGACAAAGTGGAACTAAGCCTGCTCCAGTGTTTCTTCATCATTGATTATTGGGCTAGCTGTGGATAGCTTGCATTAATTGTATATTTTGGATTCTGTTTGTGTTGAATTTTTTAATCATTGTGCACAGAGCATCATTGGTAGCTTTTATATGCAAATGGTCATTTCAGATGTATGGTGTTTTTACACTACAAAAAAGTCCCTCATGTGGATATTTCTTATACTAATTGTATCATAAAGCTGTTTATTCTTCCTTGTAAGAATCCTTTACTATAAATATGGGTTAAAGTATAATGTATTAGACAGTTAAATATTTTTAATAAATGTTTCCCTTGTTCTATAAATATTGTTCCCATTTCAAATAATTAGAAAAAAACATTCTACATGCTGCAAGTGCTGGATCTTCAGTTTCTACAGAGGGTGTTTAAAGATGATCCATACCAGTAACATCTGCAGAGCCTTTCTGGCCTTCCGAATAATTCTGGGGTTTGCATAATTTCCACATACTGCTGTCTTAAAATAGTTCATTTGTAAATTGTTGCAATTTATATTTATGTGAGAACAAAGATATTACTGTTTACACACAAATTTCAAATCCTCTGAAATCATCAATTCCCGATTATATGGGACATTGGTTTCTCTACTGCTATCCCTCTTGACCATTATTTGCAGTTGTATGACTTCAAACATTAAGTGACCCAGACTCAAAACACCTAAATATTTCTGATTCCTTCTTGAATTGGACCATAGAATATTTAAAATAGTATTTGCATGAACACTTTGCTAAGCAAAACACCAATGTACAATAGAAAGTGCATTGAACTAGTATCAGAAACTGGCTCTGAAACTTAGGGTTACTATATGACCTAGTAAATTCATTTTGCCCTTCACATAAGATTGGACTAGAAAATATTCTGTTTTCAGCTCTAGATTATTTTGGATTTATGTAGTATATTTATAATTAGTAGGGAATTTAAGTGCCTCATCACACATATATCAAGTTAGAGTTCCTTGAGCTACTATTTGATTTCTACTTATGCCAACAACAGAAGTAATCTGCTAATTATGAGGCTAAAGATCTGGTCAAGGTGGTTATAAATTTGGTCAGAAACATTAAAACAATGGAATTTTATTTTGATGAAAAACTCGAGTTTACAATCAAACACTTCATTTTCCTATCCCATAACTCTTAAGAAAACAAAGCATTAGTAAATAAATATCTGTGAACAGATTAAGGGTAAGGCAGACTGGATAATAAACCACCTCTGATGTTCACAATCCCTGCATGTAACTCACTCTAAGGGGTGAAATGGCACTGGAGATAACCAAACTGTTAAGATATGGGCACTGAATCTCATTCTATCATTCAAATAAGCCCAAGATAAATACTCATTTTTTGCACATCATGGGCAGCGAACTATACACATTTTTACTGAAGGAATACTTTGATAGAAGCACTTAATTAACTTATATTGTGCATCACAACTATAAAATGGCTTGAACAGTTCCATTTAACCACCATTTATAAAGTGCAACTATATAATGTTCTGCATTTTATCTGGGGTGTGGTGAATATCAATCTAGACTGAAAGCACCCCAGCTGCCAATTTTCACCACTTCTGAAAAGACCTAAATGTGTGAAAAAGGACTGTTCCCCCATACAAAGAACCAATTTCACAAACCTACTGGTAAACAAATACATTTATATAACTGGAACTTCAGGATGCTCAAGTTGTACTCATTTAAAAAACCATTCAGCTACCTTTGGTCTTTAAAAAAGCCTACACTGCAATATTCTAAACATTGTTATGTGCATCTCACAATGAAGAAGAGTGGCCTTGCAGTGCAGAATGAGGAAGAGTACAACGTCACTGTGAAGAGTAGCATGCTATAGTTTCAAGGATCAGCATCACAGCATTGGATTCTGTGCATCAGGATCGAGGTCGTTGTTGCCAGATGGGGGATGCATAGGAAGAATATCCAGTTCGTCCACTTGAGGGGTTGGATGCATGACTACCAGCTGGTCCTGGGGAATGTCTGCGGCAGCTGCTGCAAGGTTGGTGATGGATTTACTCTTAACACACTGAAAGTCTACATGCCGACTCTTTCCTTCTTCCTTCTCCCAGGACATTCGAATAAAGGGTCTTTGAACATAGTTGTAAATCACTTCTGGGCGGCCTCCAGGCCTTTTCTTTACTTTTTCTTTATAGGTAGGATAACCTGGAGTAAAGAAAAGTTTTAAAAACTGAGGATACACATATATGCAAACATTTTGCACTCAATTTTGCCTGAGAGGGCTTTTTTGTTACAGATCCTGAACAAGTACAAATTGAAGGGAAAACAATATTCCATTTACCTACTCAACAGCCAGAAACAAAAATTCTACTGATTTAATTCATGTACCCTATCAACATCCTTTCAGTTAATACACCAACCACCAGAAACATTCTTAAAGTGGGAATATGGAGGGGATTGGTCCCCAACACAATAGTATATGGTCTAGAACAGATCTTGGGCTCTAACTATATATCCTTGGTATCCCTAAAGCATTTTCTTCACGAGAACTGTCTAACTTAAAGGCCTGCAATTTAATGCCAATTAGTCTTCTAGTTTCCTTAAACTAGAGCCTCATATCCATATTGCTCTGCATTTTTTCTTTGTCTTTTTTTTTTGAGACAGTCTCACTATGTCACCCTCAGTAGAGTGCTATGGCATCACAGCAACCTCAAACTCTTAGGCTTAAGCAATTCTCTTGCCTTAACCTCCCAAGTAGCTGGGACCACAGGCACCCACCACAACGCCTGGCTATTTTTTTGTTGCAATTGTCATTGTTGTTTTAGCTGGCCTGAGCCAGGTTTGGACCCACCAGCCTTGGTGTATGTGGCTGGCGCCCTATCCACTGAGGTACAGGCACCGCCCTTCTTTGCTTTTTTGTTAAATGACAAAGGGCTGTATAGCTCTGCAGGCAGTTCTAGATACTTCTGTACCTCAGTCAGCAAGACAAACATTTTAAACCTCCCATATCATTTTAACATTACTACTCCCGAAAACCAAGCAGTCTGTTTAGATTCATGTTTCCAAAACAGCTTTACCTAATTATTAATACTTTCCTCCTTTGAATCATAGTCACTAAAAAGTGACAACTAGTAAGGACAACCCTAGATTTGGAAATATTTCAGTAAGACAGTTTCCCCCAAAATAAATTGTCCTTAGAAACTATTACAAATCTCTTCCCTCCTTTTTACTAATAAAGGACCAGGGATTAGCAAATATTTGCTTTCTGTAAAAGGCCAGGCAGTAAATATTTCAGGATGTGGGCCACAAGTTTTCTAAGGAAACTACTCAACAATGCCACTGTAAAGTAAAATCAGCCACAGAGAATATGTAAATGAATGAGCCTGTGTATATTTCAGTGAAACATTTATAAATTTATAAACAACTGGCAATGAGCTAGTTATTATCCCAGCTCATGGACCAGTCAGACCATGATTAGATTCATAAAAAACAAAACAAAACAAAACAAAACAAAACAGAAAGGCCTCAAAGAGTAGGGGCTCAATGATCACTACATAAAAGAATGTATGTAGATATCATTGCTAGCTAATATATTTTTTTAGCCACGTGTGGAGCGTGTATGGGAGTAAGGGGGAGACAGAATGTGAGCAATGCTAAAAACCTTCTAAAGACCTGTACAATGTCTTTTTCCTTTGATATTTCCAGTCAAATTACTATTTGATGGCAGTAGCAGAGATCTCCCCTCTCCCTGCTCCCATACTTCCCCATCCCCCACCTTGAATTGATTTGAATTTTTCTCTTATGTGACTGTGTAGTAAGTCTACTGGCTTCATATTAGAATTGAGTACATTGGATTCTTGCTTCTCCATTATTGTTACACGTTACTAAGAAGAAAGTGTTTCAACTCCATCCAGTTAATACAAAAGATGTAAAGTCTTCATCTTTTTTAATGGCTGAATAGTATCCCATGGTATACATATACCACAGCTTGTCAATCCATTCCTGAGTTGGTAGGCATTTGTTTCCACATTTTGGAAACAAGCTGTAAATCAAGCTGTAATAAACAGTCTAGTGTAAATGTCCCTATAATAAAAGGACTTTTTTTCTTCCAGGTAGATGCCTAGTAATGGGATTGTAAGATCAAATGAGAGGTCTAATTTGAGTTTTTTGAAGATTCTCCATACTTCCTTCCAAAAAGGTTGTATTAGTTTGCAGTCCCACCAATAGTGTAAAAGTGTTCCCTTCTCTCCACATCCACACCAGCCAGCATCAGCAGCACTGAGACTTTATGATGTGAGCTATTTTCATTGGGGGTAGGTGATATCTCAAGGTGGTTTTGATTTGCATTTCTCTGACAACCAGGGACAATGAGCATTTTTTCAAATGTTTGTTAGAGAAGGTTCTGTTCATATCTCTTGCCCAGTGGTAGATAGGACTGCTTGCTCCTTTTTTGTTAATTGAGTTCTCTGTAGATTCTATTTATCAACCTTTTGTCAGATTGACACCCTGCAAGTATCTTTTCCCATTCTGAAGGTTGTCTTTTTGCTTTGCTTGTTCTGCCCTTAGCTGTGCAGAACTTTTCCAATTTAATTAAATCCTATTTGTTTATTTTTGTTGTTGCAATTGCTACTGAAGTCTCCATCATAAACTCTTTTCGCCAGTCCAACATCATCAAGATTTTTTCCCATACTTCTAAGATTTTTATCATTTCATGTCTTAGACTTAAGTCTTTTATCCATCTTGAGTCAACTTTTGTAAGTGGTAAATGGTGTGGGTCCAGTTTCAGTCTTTGACATGTGGTTATCCAGTTCTCCCAGCACCATTTGTTGAATACAGATTCTTTTCCTGGCTGTATGCTTTTGTTTGGTTTATCAATAATCAGGTAGCAACTAGAGACTGGTTTCATCTCTTGGTTTTCTATTCTATTCCATATGTCTATGTCTCTATTTTTGTGTCAATACCATGCTGTTTTGATCACTGTGGACTTGTAATATAGCCTGAAGTCTGGTAGGGTGATGTTTCTGGCTTTGATTTTATTACTAAGAATAGCCTTGGCTAGACAGGGTTTTTTGTTTTCATACAAAAAAAGTACTATTTTTTTTCCAGATCTTCAAAGTATGATATTGGTATTTTAATGAGGATTGCACTGAATCTATAGATTGCTCTGGGTAAAATAGACATTTTAACAATGTTAATTCTTCCTAGCCAAGTGCATGATAGGCTCTTCCATTTGCTAATAATGTCTTTTTTTTTTTTTTTTTGAGACAGTCCCACTTTGTCACCCTCCATAAAGTGTCATAGTGTCATAGCTCACCGCAACCTCAAACTC